GTTCTAGGTTAAATACTCCTAGGAACCCAAATATTATGGTCCAAAGTTAAATTTTAACAACCACCACAACTGAAATATTTTCAAAAGAGTTATCTGTAGTCAAAACTATGATCAGGAAGTTTTCTTTAATTACACAGTTTTACAATAGGAGAGTAAGAAAATAAAATCCAGATTGTTGGCCCCTGTATCAAATTTCAAACAGACACAAGCCTGTCCAGTAATTTTAAGCAAAGAAGAATTCAGTAGAGAGCATTAAGGAATTTACAATCACTGATGGGTAGGGGGTCCTTCAGGAATGCTTCTCAGAACAAAGCCACAGGACTGCCAGACATGAGAATGGCCAGGATCCGGCTGAGGACACTGCCATCAATGGCTAAATCTGGGATCACAGGCTCACAGCCACGTGAGGGTGCAGGACACACCACCTCACTTTTTAACACTCAGTTCTGCCTTCGTGACAGCTGGCCTTGAAGATGCTCCCGGTGACCCCTCCTGGTCGCTCTGTCCTTGTCAGTCTGATTCCAGGATAGATCAGAAGTGGCCTGCATGGCCCAGATTGCTGTGACAGGAATGGAGAAGGAGATGGCAGACTGTGAGCTACGGGGAAGCGAAAGGGAGTGACCACTGAATGAGAACAGATGACCAGGATTCACTAGATCATACAACAAGTAGTGTATGGAGCTCCCGAAGGGCTAGGGTTTGGGGAGGAAGAAGGCAAATTTACTTGAAGCAGTGCTAGAGAGAAAGAGGACTCGCCTCTGCTCCCAGTGCCTGGGTACGACGGGAAATAGCTCCACTTGGAATACTTGGGGAGGTGGAATCCTCAGGGGAGCCACATCCTGTCAAGGCAACTTGGGCATGACATCAAGGTGAAGTTTTGCAGAGAACCAGAGGAAACCTTTGGGAAAGGGAAAGGGAAAGGGGCGGGAGACTGTGGCAGCTGATGGGATGACTGCTTTGGGGTTAGAGAACTGGAGTGATGGATGGCAGGACTTCAAATGACCTTCGAGGTGACTGGGAGTAAGAGGAGCCTCAGGTACTGTGGCTGCCACTGTGGGTGCAGTGACGTTGGCAATGGGCAAAGTGAAGTCCTGAGGAGACAACTCCTTCCTCCTGTTGTAAAGCCTTCATCATTTCAGCTTGGAGGCCTCCCATCTTTGCCACAGTAAAAGGAAAACAAATGGATGTTTGTGGCAGCAGTATTTACAATAGCCAGAGCGGACATGATCCGAATGTCCATCAACTGACAACAATGGGACACTGCTCTTCAGTTGTAAAAGGGAATGAAGTCCTGAAATGGACTACCACACGCATGAACCTTGTACACATTAAGCTAAGTGGAAAGAAGAAAGCCACAAAAGACCACATCACATATTATATGACTCCATTTATATTAAATTTCTATAAGGGGAAATTTATAGAGACCAAATTGGACTCTGGTCTCTATATTTCACGAAAGGGTATTTATACATTTATTCCACTTTTCACGGAGACTTACCATGCAGATTCAGTTTTACACACAAGATGGCGATGTCCACCAACTAACAAATTTGTTTATAGCCTCTGGAAATAGGCAAATATAATCTCAGGGGGGAAGTATTCTAAAAAACAATAGACATTTTCAGTCTAATATATATAAATCAATACGCATGAATTTCCTTATGAAGGCACAATATCTGGAAAGACAAACAACATGGGCATTGATGAGAGGGATACATTGTGTTGTATAATATTTTATGCTTCTTATATTTTGAGACATGTGATTGTGTTTATTCAAAATGTTATGTAGAAAAAAACCTACAAGGGTATAAAGGGACTAAATGGTGACAGAAAGAATACAATAAAAAATAAAGAAAGAAAGAAAATGAAAAAAAAACTTAAAAGAAAAATTATTTTATTTAAACTAATATATGAATTTGATGAAAGAAATGTGGAGAGTACATGCAAGATATAAAGAGACTATTTTTAAATGTTTTAAAAAATGGTTGCCAATACATACTAGTAGCTTTTTAAAAGCAGTGAGCCAAAGGGTCTCTGGCTCTTTTCCCAGTCAGGGCACATGCCCAGGTTGTGGCCAGGCCCCCAGTAGGGGGCACACAAGAGGCAACCACACACTGATGTTTCACTCCCCCTCTTTCTCCCTCTCTTCCCCTCTCTTTGAAAATAAATAAAATCTTAAAAAAAAACCATATTCTTCTAATGAACCATCTGTTTTTTTCTCTCTTTCCTTCCTTCCTTCCTTTTTTTTTCTTCTTTCTTTCCAGGTATAGGAAAAATCATGCCACTGCTCAATTAATTTTCAGTTTTATATTATGAAAATCTCCAATAGAAAGTTAAAACAATGTAACAACTCACCACCTTAGCAACAATTATTAGTTATTAATATTTTGCTTTATTTGTTTAAACTGATTTCTCTCCATATGTGTATTGTAAGCATATTTTTCCTAGATTTTTCAGGTGGTTTTTCTTCAGAGGCTCTAACCCTAACTATTTCAGCATGTATCTATTTGAGGAAAGATATTCAACTACACTGCCATAATAATAATCTTATTACAACTGAGGGAATTAAGAGTAATTCTTTATATAACTTATTACCTAGTTCATTAAAAATTTTAAATTTGTGCCTAAAATGTCTCATGTAGCTTTTCCTCACCATCACGGTTTACACACAGTATTATGATTATGTCTATTTAGTCTGCTTGGTTCTAGAGCATTCTCGTTTATTTATTTTTTCACTGTTTTTAATAGAAACCAGGCCGGTTGTCTTATAGGGAGTGTTCTATATTTTGCCTGATTGTTGCAAATATAACTCAGAGTGTTTTGACAGATATTCTTAATCTTGATATAATCCAATTCATCAATCTTTTCTTTTTTGACTCATCCTTTTTTGGGTCTTCTTTAAGAAATCTTCCCTTACTCCAGATCATGATAAAATCATTCTATATTAATTGTGTTGCCCTCACAATATCTACAAGTTAAAAGGAACTGATACTTGTTTATGATGTAAGCTGGAAGTCATTGATTTCTTTTCTTTATTTATTTCTATGGATATCCAGTTTGCCCATCATTATTTATCGAAAATAAAGCTACTTTTCCGCTGCTCTGCAGAACCAGCTACCTTGTCATAAGTCGAGTGTCCAGAAGTGTGTTGTTCTCTGTGCATGTCCTTCCTGCTTGTGACAAATATTTTCTTCTTTATTGAATGGGTTCTGGGTTGAATACTCCTGGGAACCCAAGTGTTATGATCCAAAGTTAAAAATTTAACCACCACCACCCCTGAAATATTTTCAAAAGAATTAGCTGCAGAGTCCTGCCAGAGTGACCTGGGGGAGCAGGAATGGGGAGGAGCCGCCCGCCATGCTGGTCCCCAAATTCTAAGGACTTTGTGTTCACTCAAAGTATTAATACCAGTACTTTTAATGGGCCAAATAAAGATGTACCAGGCATGTTTGGGAGCATTTTAACTTTTTAACAAAATATAAAATAATACAGATTTCACTAAATGGGAAAGCAGGCAACTTCCCACTCACTAGTAGAAAAAGAAAAATAAACACTAGTGTTCAATGTCCAGTTTAAATGCACTTATGAAGATTGTGACCCCCCCATTAATTTAATACAAAGAGTCCAGGACAAATTCTGACTTATGACCTTACTGTACAAGTATAGCAGTGTTTCTGTATCTAAGTGACTTTAATCAATGATTAAATACAATGCTATATATATACACACACACACACACTCATAGTACCTTTGTGGAATTCTTTAAAATGCTCACCGTAGCTTATGTGCTACTGACAGAAATAAAGAGGGGAATGTATAAACTAGAATATAGATAAAGACCATGTTTTATAGCTGCTTACTGATACCCTCTGTGAGTTAAAGAGCTTATATTATTCAAGTTGAATTTTGACAACGGAACTGTGCTTTGGTATCCAAACCATGAAATTTTAGTTTTTCAAAATAAGGAACAAAAGGCAGAGAACATGAAACATGTGAGAGGGAAGGGCTTCTGACTTGTCAACTGTCACGTGATTAAACCAGTGGTTTTCGGTCCAGGCCTGGCCAAAACTCAGGCCAAAACTCTGGTTCCTGGAGGTGATTGGGGTAGTAAAAGGGTTTGACTCAAATTTGTTTTTATAAGTACATATTTTAAAAACTTAATAAAAATGCCCATTCTAATCTGTTACTCACCCCAATTTTGCCATGCTGGAGACTGCCCATCTATGTAACTTCCTCTGCCAAGATAATTTATTTTGGTATCAACCTCGGAATCCAACTTTAAGAACCTCCTGAAGTGTGTTTAAAACCTGTTGTTATTTGTACTTACTTGTGTTTGTATGAATCAAAATTTTCTTGACAGTACGCAAATAAAACAAAGTACAGAAATAAGTTGGCTGCTGAAGCTTTTCACCAACTGTCGATAACCCCAATTTCCTATTTGTGTTATTCAGTCATAGACTAAAATAAGTGAACACAAATGTGAAGTTAAAATATACTTATACTGATAAATAAACTTTTCAGGCTTGATATATTGGGGTCACACAAAATTTTATTTAAAAAGGATTCTAGTGCTAAAAACTGTTTGGAAAATAGTGCTCTATAAGATACGGTCTTTTAATTTAATTTGTTAATACAATGTTCAATGTCGGAAGCTGCCCAAGACATTTGAATTGTTAAACTCTTCTGTATCATGGGAACACTCCTACAAATTAAAGTGTTGAAGATCTTCAAAACTGGGAACTTGTAACGAAGAAGAAATTACACTAAAAACTCCGTAACCATCTTAGCCTCTTCTGACAGGCAGCTTTAAACGAGATTTCTGGTTTTAAATTAATATGTTTACTGTGGTGTTGTGACCTCCACATATGGTCTCCTTCATGCGACACAATTCTGTGTCATCACACGCCAAATGTGCTGTGCATTTTGAAGGGTCAGGCACACAGCAACAACCGTCGATGTTATTTTGTGGTTTCATTAGAAAACAGCTTGTGCACGCCAAATTCAAATCATCTTTTTTATTTAAAAATCCAAAATTCACTTCTGCATTTTAGGTGTCGTTTAAAAAGAAGCAAACATTTAAAAGTATCAAATGTTACCAGTTTACAATTCATCTGGTCACGAACATTTTTAGTTTGTGGATCAGGGAGGTAAACCCACTGCACTGAGCAGGTTCACTGCCTGCCGTGAGGCCAGGGATCAGGGCGCCTGCGTCTCGGGCAGCAGGGGTCTGCGTGGGGGGCGTCACGCCTCAGCGGTGGGCACTCCTCTCTCAATGCCCCCTCTAAAAACTGTTAGCAGGTCTCAAAATCAATACAGAAGAGATTGCATGTCACTTAGTTAAAAAACAAACAACTCTATCTGCTTTCTAAATTACTTAGCAAAGCCAAGACAGACAATATAATTGTAGCCTCGCTATAATTGGTGGTCTTGAAATCCATGTCACAAAATGATGTTACAGGTGAGACAGAATTATACAATTCCTCTGGTGGTTTCAGAAATCTGGCTGAAAGGGGTCCAAGACTATAGATTTCACATTAGAGCAAGGCTCCCATATTTCCTGAACTGAGACAGTGAATATAAATCACAGTACAAAATACTTATTTTCTTTTTACTGGAAAAGCAACAGGTGCTACATACGAGAATCACTTACATAACATCTATTTTTTTTAAATGCGGGTATAAAATATTAATTGCATAGGGATTTAAATATAAGGCCAAGAAGAATATTAAGTAAAGTTAAGAAAAATCATAGAAAGGGCACTATGGTGTCAAAAGATAGAATTTCATTCTTAGAGTAATAAATCTGAATTACTGTCTAATTAAAAAATCACAGTATGTTGCTATAACTAACAGTGAATGTCAACTGTCTCATTAATTCCAAAGTGGAACCCAAACATAGGACTCACGAGAATACGACTAAAGCTGTCTAAACCTGATCAGTGAAGTAGCACGTTAGTGCCTGGTACGTACCTGATTAGTTACATAAACTACGTGTTGCAAATAATGTACAGTTGAATACACGTTAACAAGTGTGAGAGCACATCACCGCCTCATGCCATCCGTGATCTGCAGGTACACTGGGCAGTGTAACTACTCAGTCTTCCCGAGGTACAAGATCCCACCTGGCAGAATCTTCACCCAGTGAACTAAGAATACTGTAATTAACAAAATGTAGTCAAGTTCTTCCACTAAAGACTAACATGAACCAGAGAACTAGGTCCAAATACCAGTATGTACATGATCCTTAGGACTGTGGAAGGCAATGAATGATGAGTCCAACTATACTCTGTAGTTTAATGATTACCACCTGAAGGTTCAGGTAGAAAGGTAAATTGTGAATCTACTTCTTGTCTTAATGTTACATACACTGAAGTTTAAAGAGCAATTCCCAAATATAAAAGTAGCTTAGTTAACTTAGTACTGTTATATAGAGTAGTGTGAAGAAAAACAACAACTCCCAAAGGAATTATGTTAAGGTACATTTGGGAATACCCCAACCAATGTTTTAAATGAAAAAGTGCATAAATACAGTAATACTACAAGTGTGTTAACTACAGAACCAATTTTTTCCTGGGAGCTACACAATCCTATTTTCCCACATTATCTACACGTGATGAATTGTTCGGATACCACAAAGCACCATTGACAGTCTCAATTGCTTGATTATGTCGGAAAGGTCCTTGGACTTCCACTCTACTCAGCTGAGGATCTACCTAGAGTAGACGTGTCAAGTCATCTTCGGTCGATCAGGATTTAGCTTCACAATTCAGTTCTCTTTTGTTCAGACACAGCAGAGCAATATTTTCACTTCACACTCTTGGTTGGCGTTTCAGATTCTGTGGACTGTCTCCCATCTGTCCAGGCTTCCCGGGTGCTCTTCAGAGCGAGGGTCTTCTGTTGGTCGACCACAACGTAATCCACTCTCTCGTCGGCCACGCTGCTTCCCGAGCCACTGCTCTTTTGCTAGAATAAATGAATGAATGAATGAATGAAGGCAAATAAAACATCCCATACATTTCTACCAATGAAGGACAGCTTCTGCTTCTGATTAAATTTCAGTCTTAAAACACAGATACACATACACAAGGAGTAACTCTTGAAATTCTAGTTGATCACAACAAAGATGACACTACCTCAGTTTCACAGTGTTGCCTCTCTCCTAACAGTGCACTCTCTTCCCTCCAGTCTAAAATGATTGTATGTGGTAAGAATTCAAACTGATGCTCCCCTCACAGATGGAAGTCTTGCAGAGTAGAGATAGCAGGCACCTGGTTCACCATAAGGTGCACAATTTGCTTCTCCCTTTAGTCTTTAGCTCAAGCTGAACTTTTTCAAGCCCTGGGAACGTGTGTCAGTGCTTACTTTCAGAAATAAGAAATGTTTTCTGAAAAGCATATTTCCAGAACGGCAAATTACACAGGCTGATGGGCTGGCTCTCTTACTCCTAAAGTACAACTAAATACCAGCCAACTTAAAACAAAAGTAATTACTAGTACACTGCTGGGCTTGCTAGAAAATAAGGAAAATACCCAAGGAGTGAGGGCAACAGAGGGAGCAGAGAGCTGCTATGTGGGAAAGGCGCGGTTGTCGTCTTTAGGAGGAATGTCAGTCTCAGCAATGTGCTCGGGAGGCCCTGGGTGGAGGGAGATGCTCCAGCAGAACCACCTTGTTTAGCCAGGGGCCCTTGAAGGGAACTGACAGGTCCTAGCATGGTGACACCACCTGCTTCCTGGCAGAAACCAGTGCAGGCTTCCCACCAGAGCCCCAGAGAAATGGATTCACAGTAAAAATGTACAAAATGCACAAAGAAAGCAGCCGTCAAGAGCGTGAGTTAGCAAAAACAATAAGCACGGATTCCGATGTCCAAGGACTTCAGACAGTGAAATTATTGCATCGAGAATATAAAATATATATGTATAAAATGCTTCAAGGAATTTCAAAATAAAACGCATAAAATAAGGAATGAATAAGAAGCTATTCAAGTCAGCTAAGCCTATTTGGGAAAAAAAGCAGAACTTTATCTTAGAAGTAGAAATAAAATACCTGAAATTAAAAATTATACAAAGGGGTCAAACAGAAGAGTCGAGAATTAGTGAACTTAGTGATAGAGCTAAAGAAATTATCCAAGTAAGCACAGACAGACAACGGGAGAGGATGCGGAAGGGCCATAAGAAGCACAGAAACTGGACCGAGGAGTTCTAGCTCATGTCTGATCAGAAACCTCAAAGGAGAGAAGAAAAAAAGGGCGGAAGAGCATTACCTATAGAGATAATGGCTGCAACTTTTTCAGACTTAATGAAAAATGCAGAAGTAAAGACAATATAACTTCTACTGGGCAGGGTAAACAAAAAGAAATCTATGTCTAGGTGTCCAGGCACATGGCAGTAAAACCCGAAGATCACGGAAGATCTAGAAAAGGGCACTCTATCAGCTGGAAAGAAAAGACTGAGTACACACGACGAAACCACACTGACAGCGACGGCAGGCTTTCCAACAGGACCAAGAGAGGCCAGAGGATAGTGAACAGCACCTTCTACTTTCTGAAAAAATGTATCGTCCATCAGGAACTGTGAACTAAAGATAACTCTTTTTCAACAAAGGCGGCACGACATTTCAGCTAAACAAAAACTGCAAGAATGTACCACTAACACACCTGCACAAAAGCAAAGTGGTCAGAGAAGGGAGGCTGATGATACAAAAAGGAATAATTTACAAACGGAGTTGGCAACCCTGCTGGAAAATGTAAATAAGCACTGTCTATATAATAAGACTACTGCTACTGCTGCCACTGTCTAATTTGTGGGTTTCACAAAATTAAAAAACCTAAAGTTTGGACAAAAATAGCACCAAAGTCAGAAGGGAAGTAATTTGAGCTAACAATGGAAAGAGAGCAAAGATGATTAACTTCAGAATGTGTTACATAAGCATTTCAATGGTAACCACTAAAAGAGTAGAAAGTGTGTGCCTTCCAACCCATCAGAAAGGAAAAAAGAAATTTATTAGTTTCCATAACTTTCTTACTTGTGATTTATGAAACACCATTAGGTAACAGATTTTACTAAATTTAAATGAAACCATACCAATAAAATCCCCCCAAAGGAGATACGGTTATTTAGGTTGAAAACCTGATCTAACAGGACAGCGGGGCACAAACGCAGGTTTACAGTTATACGTGTGGAAAATAATGAATAAATAATACAAGAGTAAACTCTGTGTTTCACGTACTCACAACTAGGAACCTACTTTTGCCCCGCCCTGTATTTAAGGCAGGAGGCTTCACTTACTTTGCGTGGTGGTGTGGATTTCCCAGAATCTAAGTCTAGATCGAGGTATTCCACTTGCTTGTCTCCCTTGGGCTTGATCATAGGGCTGCTCCCTCCATCCAGACTGTTACTGCCAAAGAGATTCTAAAAGAACAATATGGTACAATCAACTGCCACACATTCATGCTGCTTTTCTTGCTTGTTATCTACTAAAAGCCTAAATATCTATTTCAAAAGGACATAGCTTGATCAAGTCTGCTTAGAAAATTAAATAACTTTAGGATTGGGGAAAGTAAGTAATGTTTAAAAAAACTGATTGAAACTTAGAGTAAGCTAGAAGTAGTTTCAAAAGTCAGTCTTGGGCCCTGACTGGGTAGTTTGCTTGGTTAGAGCATCGTCCTGATGTGCTAGCATTGTGGGTTCGATCCTCAGTCAGGGTAACTGTAAGAGTCAACCAGTGAATGCATAAATAAGTGGAATGACAAAAATCAATGTTTGTCTCCTTCTCTCTCTCTGCCTCTCCCTCTCTTCCTCTCTCTCTCTAAATTCAATTTTTTAAAAAGTCAAACTTGGTTCACACCAAGACTGGGACATCAAACTAACGTCAGTTGTGAGAGCTCCAGCTGAACATTATTAAAATGACATTTGTAAACAGCAGGATCCTGATACCCCCTGCTTGTAAATTAATTTCTTAAAGTTCTATATTTAAAGTCTTTCACACTGAAATTAATTTGAAAGAAGTATGCTAACTAAAGGCTATGAATGATGACTTCCTTGGCAAAGTCTATTTTATTTCAACCGTTTGGAATTTTTACCACTTAATTTCCTTTGCCTTCTATTGGCTTTGACTAGTCTCTAAAAGAGGAAAAAGAAAAACGGAGGATGGTGAACAGCATTTTTTGCTCAGGTTGAACAGAGTAAGCTGGGATTCAGGGCAAAGACAGCTGCTAGAAAAACACAGATTACTCCCTCCTTTTTAAGCAGGGCTTAAAATGTACCACTAACACACCTGCACAAAAGCAAAGTGGTCAGAGAAGGGAGGCTGATGATACAAAAAGGAATAATTGACAGCCCTGCTCAATGTTCCTGTGAATTAGGAAAAAGGTGCTCTTCCTCCACGGTGACACAGGTCCGCCAGGACCGCTGCCTGGTGAGCCAGACGAGGTCTGGGCTGCGAGGGCTCACCAATGCATTGGTGCCGGGCGGTACAATGTGTACACACGACACATGGTACTCAGGGTGCTCACACAGTGATCGGTCTGCCTGGCTGTGTGTGACGGCTGTGTTCGTAGGAACAGGTTTTGAAGCCAAGTTTATCCACTATTTCTAATAAAACACTGCAAAATATTAACAATAACATGCAGGGAACAAAAAAAAATAAGCAAGTTTTGGTATTTAATTAGTACAAATAGCCATTTTCCCCCTGCCTTTTTAAAAAATTCACACAGAAACTGATTTTTCCCCTGTAAATGACTTGATTTTTCATTGTCACAGAAAAAAAATATCAAGCAGGAGTATATGTGTGTGAAAAAAAAATCCTGTGTTCAAATGTGGCCAGTGAAAGAACCCATACCTAGAATTTCCCTAACTGGAAACACTCAGAATTCTCAGTTATCACAAGGCTATGAAAGGAACTCAAGAGTTCATAAGATGTACACATTTTATCTCAGTACATTGTTCCTGAAGAGAATTTCTCAGAATTGCGAGTTAAAGTGTTTTCTAATTATTACGGAACTGGAAATTTTTTCGTCTTATTGTTAAAATTTACAGGGAAGTCTATTTGCTCTCGATCTAATCTCAATGGGAACAGCTTGTCACTGTGTTCTAGCCTTTAACCTGGTGTTTTCGCAAAACAGTTTAGAAAAACCCTAAGATTCTAGGGGCTGCTGTGAGCGCTCTGAGAATTAAACAAGTAAAATAAAAACAACAGTAGTACTTTGTTTTTCTAGAATTCTTTTAAAAATACGTAACGTTGTTAAACATACTTTTGTTGCTATTGTTATATAACAATATTTATCTTTAGTAATGATCTGCTGTCGTTTGAATTCCAGGAGTCACTTTAAGGGTTCAGATGACGGATGCCTGACTTTGCATCTCTGGATGAACGAATAGGAGGCATTGGTACAGTGTCTTGTCCTGTGTTGTTTCACAAACCAAGTCCATCTTAAAAAAACTGTAACTGGAAACCTTTTATAATTTTCAACTAATTTTACATCCCCTTTTTAGAGATAGGTATTACACTGTAACTCTGTTGGTTTTAGACTTCACCATAGTATTTTTAAAAAGCACTCAAAAAGTTGTCTTTTATCCTTCTTCCTTAAGTATCCCGGAAGCTGTAAGGATGAGAGCGACAGATGTAAAGAACAGAGAGAGAAGAGGAAGGCTTTACATACCGAGTCTTCAATGTAGAGATTGGGGTTCATGGGGACATAATTCTCGTCGCTGTCATGCGAGTCGCTGCTTGAAGTTGTGCTGTGCACCGAGTCGGGTCGGGGTGACATGGGGAACCTGGAGGAGCTAGTTACAGAAACGATCGTCACAAACAGAAACTGTGACTAAGGTTCTAACGTCACCTCCAAAATAAAAATGAGTGACAGTTTGCATCCTTTCGGAAATAGCCACTTAAGTTCATAATCATGTATGGTACACAGTGATTGCAATACAATTTACTGCCCACATCCAAATGGACAACCAGTATTTGTAGTTCTACCTCAAAGGTATATTTTTGGGCACCAAATTACCTGTGTAGAACAAAAAGCATTGCTAGCTATTTGGAGTTTGATAAGTAGAAAGTTACAGATTTATGGTGGGAACTGCCCTGCCTGGTTTCAGAAGCTGTAACCCCCCCCATGGCTAAGGCTGAGTAAGAGACCTTGGGACCATAAGCCACTAGGGAGACACAGGTTATCTTCCTGGCAGGGGCGTCACCTTCTGCCCACTTTTACTTCACCCTGCTTGGCCCTGGGTGGATGACTGGTTAGCCAATGACGGGTAAGATTCCTCAAGGAAGGAATGGCCTAAGTCAGGCATGGTCACGAAGGGGCCCTCAGGAAAGGACTTGGGAGTATATAGGAAAAGGGGGTGATGGACCCTCACCCCTCGGCTTTGACAAAGCCTGAGTCCTCATTCGTCTTTGAGAAGTTTCCTAACCTCTTGGCTGCCTTCCTTCCCCTGACTGACTTAAGCCTGAAACAATGCAGGAGGTGGGTGCAGCCCTGTGCTGGAAAGGGCGGGTTCCCTGGGGTGATCAGGCCTAAGAAAGAATGCATAAAATCCTGTGAAACTTGCTTTGCTGAGAATGTTCTCAATTTAAATGATAAGGGTCCAAGAGCAGAATGAGTCTGTTTCCCCTAAATTTTACGGTCCAAGAGCAGAATGAGTCTGTTTCCCCTAAATTTTACGGCCCTTTAGCTAACTGACTCTGACTCAGAATAAGCCCTCAGAGTTCTTTGTATGTTATCTATTGTTTGATTCTTACTGCCTGACAGTGATTGATGAGCTTTACCTGCATTCCTGTGCAAAATGAACCCAATAAAAGCCCAATGAGGAATAGGCTCCTGGCCCTTCTCCTTTGAGAGCAGCCACCTTTCCTCCCCAAGCAGATCATGTCTTGGTAGACTTATTCTCATCCCCCACAGCACCCACAGATATGTATATATATATATTCTTATTTAAAATAACTGTATGGATACATAAAACATGAAAAAATATTCAACGCAGGCTTATAACTTTACATACTCACTTCCCTGTATACACTTAAGTAAATCTTAAGTAATTTCCGTAAGAAACGACCATATTTTCCAGATTAGTAATTCTTAGGAATTTCTGGCCTCACGAATCCCTTATACTCTTAAAAACTACTGAGAACTGCAAGAAAGTTTGGTTTACACGGGGCATATCCATCGAAATTTACTATATTACAAACAGCAGGAAAACTGTTTTAAACATAAGAATACACAATACACATGCTATTATGTGCCACGCAACGTCACCTAGGATCATGTAACCTCTGGGAAACTCCAGGGCACACTCACGAGAGGAGAAGAGTGGGAAAAGTAAGTGACATCTTAGCATCTCAACAAAAACAGTTTTGACTTCACAGAACCCCCAAAAGGGGGGTCTCCCCAGACCACCCCTTTTGGTCCACCCCGTGGAGACCACTGTTCTAGATATCTTCCATTACAACAAACAACCAAGCTACATATTTTAAGCAAAGACTTACTCTCGAGCAAAACTCCTAGTGATGGGAGATCTAACTGGGGCTTGTAATTCTTCCCATTCTGGCAGAGGTTTTATTTCTAACGGTGCTGGCTTGGCTGAAATGAAAGAGAAGAAAAGAGATTTTAGGATGCAGAAATCTGGAAAACAAAAGCAGACCCTCTCCCTCTGTCTCTATGTGTATGTTATCACCAGAGTGGCTTAGGACCAGCTGGTTTCACAGGTGAAACAAGAGTCATGGATGTCCTGTGATTTGCCCGAGGCTGCACAGCTAAACTAAACAGTTAGTGACAAAGTGAATCGGATAATGTTTTGTGATTGTTGACTAAAAGCCGAAAGCTCTATTACAACACGTTGCTTCTTAATTTAAGTAAATATTTTATGAAGATAAACCAAATGAGAACGAGAGAGTAATGGGAAGCAATTCTTTTAGTTACTTGATTTGTACCTTTCCCAATTTCCTCATTCACTTTTACCTAATTTTATCTTTAAATACAGAGATTGGAGATCTAATCTTCTATATTAAAACATTCTGATTCTTCAATGTTAAAGCTTCAATACACATAAAATATGTATAGTTGTACATAACATTATGCAACTGTACATATAAAATAATATATAAAGTATATGAAATACAAAATTTTGCTAAAACCAAAACAAAACAAAAAAATAATGACCAAATCTTAATTCATGCCCAGTCTGGAAACAAATAATATGAAACAGTAATTTTATCTTTAGATTCAAACTCAGTTTTGAGAAAAGGCCATAATTAAACAATCACCTCAAATTTTTAGCTTAATTTAACAAACAACATCCATTACCAAACTAAGTAAAAATAAATAAATGCTAATATTCCTATTAGTTTTACTTATAAGAGCTCTCTCCTTATTTAGCTCATTATTGCAGTAGGCAGTTACTGTGCTAGTACATACCACAGATCTTTCTCCCTTAACATCAACTGAAACAATTTTCAGGAATTAATGAATGAGCAAAAAACTAAAACAACATTACTTGTTAATATTAATTATATTTTAGGAGACCACTCAAACATACTAGGTAAGTATTTTAGTTACCTTTCATCCTGCCATTCTAAAGAAAAAAATTTTTTATTTTTCCAGGTTTCCTTTTTCTACTCTTTGTCCACATATGTGTATTTTTAATCAACTATGCTATAGTTACCATAAAACTATAAAATAGATGGACATTTTAAAGGGCTAGGCAGATTCACTAGGGCTCATAAGGAATTATTTTTATCAACTCAAATGCAACAGCTCAATGTGATTTTCTGTGGACTGATGTAAGTCCAAGTTAGTTTTGTTCGTCTATACACTTACAATGGACATGCACAGAGTACTGTGCTGACTAAAAGTATTTCATTTCTATGTCACACTTTTGAGAAACCCAAAGGTTAACAGCAGTCTCTACCTGTCAAATTCTAAGTCATGGCATAAAACATTCAGTCCACGGAAATGAGCCTGTATTCCATCTCAGAACACATACATTATATACACATATAAGAGACAACTGGCATTCACAAAGCAGGTCACGAGTTTAAAATAAACAATGTACTGATGTCTAAGGGGTTAAAGTAATGCAAAAGGACAAGGCTGAATATCACATATAATCATATCACACATTATTATTTGACTGAATATCAAATATTTAACATGCTACTATTAAAGGTATAATAAGGGGACTCGTGTATTATGGAAAGCATTCAGTTTAGAAATAACGTGCTAGAAAGCTTTATTTATAACAACAGTTGGATTTAAAGTTCTTCTTTACTTTTAAAGGAAAAAAAATCACAAAATAAAGTCCCAATGCCCCGTCCAGCATGCGGTGCCAAAGTACATACCCTTTCTTCTCGTGGCAAAGTCACGCATGGTTTGTGAATCGGTTCGCTCTAAACCATGGGGTTTGGGTCTTAAAATTTTAGGACTTTGACCTAATTGGTAAAAAGAAGACTCTCTTAATATGTTATTTTTTAATTGGAAAAAATGGATTCTGTCAAAAGAGCAACAGAGCCCTGAGCAGAAATGTTACATCTCAAAAGCATACACACAAGTCTGTTCGTGGAGACTATTTCAATCTTGCTACCTATCATTCACGCTCAGTACACTGGAAAAGGGAGAGCTGCGTGCAGCAATGCAATAAGCCAAGTATTATAAAAGATGGCAAGGTTTTAGTGGGATAAATGGCCTCGTTAGTTCTTATCTTTATTTGTGGGAAGGAGGAAACACATGTACCATGTTAGTTCTTCTTACATGCCTTAGAAAACTGGGTCAAATAAAAAAAATTTAAATCTCTCACTCAGATCTCAAGTACATCTTTCCTTTGCAGTATGGTGTCTCATGAGAAAGTACCCAGGCCAACTTGCTTTCATAATAGTACTCTCCTAATTTGGGGGAGGTATTTTAAAAACTTTAATCTGGCTTGGCTATTCCTTCCCCTTTTGACCAAAGACCTTTCAGAGAAGCAGGTGATGCTCCAATGCTTGCTAATCCAAGACCAACATGTGTTTCCCCTGGATGCTCAGGGGCTGGGCTGCCTGGTGACGACACTTTGCAAGGATTGGACGTCTAGATTCTGGAACTGCCGACTGTCTAGCTTCAATGTAAGGATATGAAAGCATAAATTCACTTGCCATCATTTTCTTTTCATTTCGTCTGTGGCACATACAAGGACTGATGAAGTGAACACCCAGCAGCTGGCCTCACCTTTTATCCCTGCAAGGACCCTGGATGTCCGAATGGCGACATCATTTGAAGAAATTATTCAGGCGACTCTATCCTTAATGGCACCAATTTTCTTTTTTTTTGTGGCATTTACAAAGCTCAGTGGACATCAGATTTCGCAAAGTAAGAATTCACTAATTTCTAGCAGCTTATCTCCCAAAATCTAAGTTTCTGAAAATGTGATCATCTAGATTACAAAACATGAAAATTCTCTAATGAACCAATTTTATAAATTAGGCAATCAATACACTGAGTTAATTCAGAAATGAGGCAGGCCTACTCGAAGACGTGCGTGCTAACATTCTGGACCACAATCCTACCCTCGGCACTGACCTATCCAGGGCCCAGGCTGGCCGGGCACTTTTCTAAAACAAAGGCCTATGTCGGCTTTTTATATTCCTCCAAAATAGTGTACTTCCCTTCAAAACAAACAAGCGAGAGGCAGAAGATAAGCTTTTCCATAGAAAAGCTTATTTATTTATTTTAGAGCGGAAAGACCCTTACAGACCAAATCCAGCTTCATTTTATGGCTGAGATGCCTCTGGAGATGGAGAAGTTAAGTGAGTGAACGAAGGCCTCCGCTAGCCTCCTCCCTGCTGGGGCCGCACTCCTGTGCTGCCCACCTCGCTGTACCCTCTGTCCCTTTGGGAAATACAGAAGCTTCGACAGTCAGTGTTTGCAGTTCAGGTTTGAACTCCTCAGTTGTTTCAGGTCTTACAAAGACTCGAATGCCGCAGATGGTGGCCAGGCGCAGGAGGCGATGTTAAAAACTATGGACAGCTTTTAGAAGTACTTTTGGTCTGCTGGCACCTCCTCAGTGCCTACTGTGCTTCCTCAGTGTTTGTTCCGTGCCCTCTCCCTTTTCTAAAAGACCTGCTTCCATTAGCTCTCAGCTTCCTCCTGCGTCCTCACTGTGTTTCATTTTTTTTTTTACCAGCAGTCACTCTTCACATGTCTCACCTTTCGCCCTCAGTATCTTACCTACATCTGTGGTTACATAATCGAGGTCACATGACTGCTAAATCTACCTAGTTACGACCTAGTTCCCTGTTTCAGTTGTCTGACAGGTCCCCTCTTTTATCCTTCCAACCCTTGACACTGAGCTTATTACCTCCCTCAAAACCAGTGCTATCTCTCAAGTACTCTCAAGGGTATACTCCTCGGCTTTCTTAATAGAACAGCACCATACTGAGATGTTTAAAGTGCCTTTACAAAGTTTACAGGTACTTTCTACTCCATCCAAACAAAGCTTAAGGCTGATTTTACGATAAAAGTCGCAACGTGGGCATGCTGCTCTGAATTGTGCTGAGTCACTTAGCCTTTTGTGAGCTCTATTTCTCTATATCCTTCCAAACTCCATGTGACATTTGTGTTCCAGACGGGAATACAAGGTTTGCCCAGCTTATGAGCAGAGAAAGAAAAAGAAGTCCAAGGTATAAAGATGCTTGTCTTAGCCCTGTCTTCTTGTCTATTGCCTGTAGGCAAATCCTTAAAGAAAAGTATGAAAATAAAAAGTGAGAAATAAGAATTCTAAAGTAGAAGCAAAAGTGAGCCAGTCTGAAGATAACGGGATCCCCAAATTCCAAGCGTAAACAGAGGAGCTCATTGGAGCCTCAACTTCTAAATCCAGGGCAGTTACAATTCAGCTTTAGCTAGACTTAGGTCGGAACAAAGAAAGCAAGTTTATTTTTTCATTTAGCACAAAGCACTGACTACTGGTGAATTCCTATTGTCCTTTTAACCCTTAGGTGTTAAAACTGCCTCACCCAGGCTGTCAATCTCTGGGCCATGTGACTGTTCCCTTATTGGGAGCACAGTTTGGTAAACCTTAATTTCTGGTTCAGGTCTTTCCAGCAGATCCTAATCCACGTACCTACAAAACCCCCCAGGTGGGCGTTCACACCACACGTTAAAAAATCCTTTGACCCCCCCGCACACCTGCTATGCTCCCTACACTGGGGCCCTTGCAGCAGATCTTCGCTGTCACCTAGATTCCACTTTCTAATCCCTCTATATCGATTTCAGTTTCATTTATAGTGACAATGTAAGTTTGTGTTCATTCACCCAGGAATTTAAAAGAAGCTGCAAGTCTGCAGTCCTTCCTTCAGTTACTAACGCGCACTTTCACTTACCTGGTGTTCCCGGGAGTGACAAACTGCCACTGTGTGGCTAAATGACCTCCACCTACACTCCAAGGGCCCTCAAAGCTTTAAAAATCACTGCAAGTCCCCAAGCGGAGGGGGCAACTGAGAGCCAGGAAGGGGGCTGCTGTTAAGCCTTTCTCATTTGATCATCTCTAACCCTGGATTGGGGAAACAGGGCAAAGCACCCTCTGACAAAGATGTTGAAGAACGTATGATGTTTTTATCATTTCACATGAAAAATGTAATTTGTTTCTATCATACTGTTAAACCTTAGATGAGCTTTCTGGAGCCAACCTGATTATATTACTTGTCTGCATAAAACTCTTTAGTGGTGGGTGTACTCAGAGTAAAGCCCGAACTCATTAGCGAGGATCATAATACTCAGCCTCAGGCACCTGGGAGGCATCTGGCACAGGTTCCCCCATTCATACTTTCCTCCCTTCTTCCCACCCACGACTGAGCCCGCCCCACCGCCCCTCTTTTGAAAGGGTCTGGGTATGCTGTCTGTTCAGACTGGAAGACCCTCCACCACCCTCCCTCCCTCTACCGTTACTTAATTGCCACTCACCCGCTCAGACCTTCCCCAGGGAGCTTAGCTAACCAGTGCCAAGAGCCAAGAGCTTACCTCAACCGCAGCCCCTTTCATGCTAATTATGATAATGTGTTTACTTTTCTAGCTCCTCCACTGGATGGACTGGGGCTTCTTCAGGGAAGCCACCATTTCTTCCCCGGGTTTGAAGACCCAAGGCCCAGAAGAGGGCCTACCCTAGTGCTGGTGGACAAGCCTACAATACACAGAGCTGGTGGTGGATAATCTGATCGATGTCACGAGTTTTATCTTTTTGTCCTTGAAGGAGGAAAAAAAGCGAACGGATGTTGTTTTAAAAGTTGGTCATCCCCAAATAAGGTCAAGGCAGTCACCCGAGGTTGTCTCAAATATGCAGATGCAATCTTTTTTTGGGCAAAGTCCAGACACTATGAAGTAGTATTGTAATAGGTACTGCCTACATATGAGTACATTCAACTCAACGTGGGATTATTTATACTCTTCTGACATGTTCCAGGTTATGCTACTGATCCCAGTAGACGTTTCAAAATTTAAGAAAGAGGAAATATAATTTGCATTATGATCCTCTGCTAATTCCCAAAAGTAATCAAACTTTTCACACCTGTTTTAATGGTTTCCTTGTAGAAAGAAGAACACATTAATGATAATTCTATTGGAAGGTCAAGAATATTTAGTGGGGGAAATCCATGTGCAAAGACTGTGCTGTAAAAAGGCACTCTGTACTCACTTCCTTTAAAGCGCAACACCAGACAAAAATCTGACTGGGAGTCCAACCTGAACGTTTGTTTATTACAATCTAGTTATTTTTACTGGTGTCACTCATCCATCTTCCAAACATCTATTACAGTGTAAGAGCCACTTGGAGAAAGCTTGTTCATTTTTAACTACCTTCAAAAAATTATTTAGCAGATGTCTTGAAAAAAAATGTTTACAGCAAATATATCACACTGTATACCAAAAGACCCACCCCAGGCAGCGCCTGATGACTGGTCTTCCACAGGGGGACCCAGACCTGATGCTACGCCATCTAGACTCACGTACTAAACACCAGAAGTAGCCTCGTGCTGCTGTTTAAACCTCAGCGCTGTAACTAGTGGCCAGAGCCGCTGCAGAAAGCCGTGCGTGGGCAAAGCCAGACACAAAGACAGCATCTGAGGCTCGGCAGCTGCTCCGTCACGTTGGGAGGAAACTGAATGGGGTGCAGGGTCCGAGACAAGTGTAGTGATTAAATGTAGCAGATTTACAGAAAGATGGATTTTAAGAGAAGCTGCACCACAGATCTCCCAGGAACGTCTCAAGCTTGACAAACTGCTTTTCCATTAAAATATAGAAGTTTTGGTGCAAACAATCAAAAATGCAATCTGTACTACATTTCCAATGACTCGTCTGCTTTTCAAAGACAACACACGGAAATGAATGTCTCCTCTAGTAACATACATAAAACAAGTACCGTCAGGACAGAAATGGTGTGGGTGCAAAGGAAGCTAGCACGGGGGTGGGGGGTGGGCAAAGGAGCCGGGAAACGACACTCAACTTGTGGGTTTAGAACATCTATGTATTTCTGCAGCTTAAGTTACTCAGAAGTATGCTAGAAACTCATCTGTACCACGAACCACAGCAGCTGACATCTAAAATTGGGGGTATAAACAACACTAGGATATCACTCATTCATTGTAGACCCTCCCAGAGGAGGCTCTCCAGAAACCGGCTATCCGGGATGTCAAACTGGTTACATAGGGCCCTGAAACCAACAAGTCATATTTGATGGGAATAGGTTTGCTTGTTATTTGGTTTACTTGGTAAGACCTACTAGAATAATAGATTGAGTCACGTATCTGACGTGACAAAATTAGAAATTTAGAACAGATTTTATCTGATGGCATGCATCATGAGGAGAATTTCACGATTAAATAGACATGTCGTTTACAGTTTAAGTTTTGAGGAATAAACTTTGCTTCAGGATCTGAATTTGGGTTTTAAAATGTATTTTTCTTGAATAGTTACAACTTTCTAAAATGGGTCGACAAAGTTTGCCCTGCATATTAAATGCCTTTTCATGCATCCTCTCTTGTATTGTATTTATTGAAAAAGTAGGCTAGTACTAAAGAAAAGCAAAGACATTTTCTTTATTACTATGATTTTAGTAACCTCTTTACTGTTTTTCTAATTCCATGCTCCTTGATTTTGCCCAAACTATGTGGGTATTTATTCTGGATACTTTCTTGATTCATTTGGTATCTAAGAAAGGCTACCAAATAACAACCTGGCCCATGAACTCAGAACTGCCTCTCAACAGTTCAGTTACTTTTTAAGATTACACTGAACATAATCTCCAAAAGTAACCGAGAACCTGCTTTGTTCTGTTCTAGTGTGAAGTCACTTCAGGGCAGTGAGAAGGCTAGGACAATTACTGTCGTGTAGTAAAACAGATAGTACTGTCACTACACACACAGGGAGGTATAATTGTACAAGTATGCAAAATATGTACTATATTCATATATAGTACACATGCCATATTACTATGGTATGTGTTACACTTATGGGGAACATGAGTTCTATCAGACCTAGAGAACACTTAAAGCTCATCATTATGATTTTAAAACTCCTCTATAGAGAAACAGGAATTTTTTTTTATTCTGCTTTATGCTTACCATGTAGAGTCATTCACTGAAATCTAGCGGGAGTTCCCAAACTGTGTTCTGCACAGCCCGAGGGGAGGAAGGTGGGGGCAAGGGGACAGCACAGATGCGCCTGGGAACCTGTGCCCTCACCCGATCCGCAGCAAGTCCACCTTCATGGGGGCCCTCAAGACCCCAAACTGTGACATCTGGGGTTAAAAAGTGCAGCTCTGCAGCCAACACGCCCCAATTAGAGAAAAATAAGAGAAGAACCAGTCTAGCATTAAAGTGAATTATTTTGATATTTCAAAGAGTTCGGGAGACTCGTATCTTAATCCTTCAGCAGCCTGTGAGCTCAGAGATGAACGCATGTGTACCCTAACGTGCTTTCACATACCGTACACGAAGCAAAGGACCAAGTACTGTGTTCACAGACTTAAAGACAAATGAGGACAAAGAGTAACAGAAGGAAAAGCTATTACATAGAAAGCTGGGGATGCCCACGCCCTTTCTAAGATAACCATCCTGATCATGACCCTGCTTCTGGGGTGGCTGGGTGGCCATGGATGCAACAGGTGAGCATCTTTCCAGCTGTCGGACCAAAGTCAGGCACTTGACCCAACAGCAGCCAAGCTGTGGCCTGGTGCACAATCCATCGTGTGGCTTGATGTGAAAAGACAATGAAACCAATGAAATTTGGAGCAACCTGAAGTGAGTAACAAAGGAGGCTCTTAGCAGCCTCGGAAGATGCACGAAAAAGCAGCCAGGGGGCAGACTCAGGCCACAGAGGGGCGCTGTAGGCCACAGCTCTGGGAAAGCAGAAAAGCAGGTAAAGGAGAGCATACGCAGTGGAAGGGGAAGAAAGAAGCAAAGGATGTAAAGGAGAACAAAGCAGATACAAAGACTCCCCCAGGACAGACATGCAGAGAGCAGGATGGAGGGACAGTCCCCTAGGAGTGCCTCAGTTCCCAATCACTGTCTCACTTCGCCACTGGTGTATCCTACTTACAGCCAAACAAAACAAAACTCATTTTCTTAAGATGCTCTGAGTCTGTCTCGCTTCCCCACAACTGGTACTTAATTAGAATTAACATTAATGATCTAAGCTCAGGATAATGAGAAATTTATATGGACCTTACATGCTCTTGAAAAGCTACATACGCCACATGACTTTTCGAGTATGCTGAGTACCCCAGAAATTGTGCCACTTATCACAGAGCCAACGGACTCCCTTACTTGCTCGTCCAGATTAAGTCACACCCTCGCCATGCTGCGACACAGCTAGCTGTCTCTGTCATAGCCCAAACTTTAAAAGCTCGGGTACATGTCACCAAGTTGGCTGAAAAATTTCCTTTACACTACATTTTTAACAAACCACGGCACTTGAGAACTTAGTGTTACTTAGGAAGGCCAGTATGAAAGAATAGACTAGAAGCATTTTACACCCCAGTAAAGGAAGAACCAGTTTAAAGAAGTTGTTACACAAACAGCGTGGGAAGATTACACAAGCAATCTCACCATCAGTGCCTCACAATCTCTAGCCGGGTCTGATACTATGTACTTTGGTTTGGTCTGCAATGTCTTGTTCTTTTAAAATAATTACATTAGCTGTTAGAACTTAAAAGTCCAAAGACAGCACACATAAAACCCAACATTTCTGGCTTCTCTTGACACATCAGAAGATTTGCATGTACCGGTCCTAATTATTTCCACAAGTCAACACAGGGGTGTGGCCAGGGAGCAGGCAGGTCCTCCAATTAGGGTGCATGAGTTTCTCTAACTCCCTCCTGTCCCCTGACAATCTTTGCAAGTGTTTTAGTTTGTGACCTCTGCCCCCGAGATAGACTTAACAACGTCCCCTGGGCATCAACCTGTGATATGACAATTATTAATCTATGAACAGCAACACTGCTTAAATAAGCTACTAACTAAGGTCATATGAAACACCTTGGAACTTCTGGCCCCAATTTCTGTTCTGGGTTGAATGACAGTTCAAGCAGACCGGCGACCCTGACCCTTTCCTGAGCTGTGCTCTCCTTACCTTTTCTGTCTGGCTTGAGGTTCCTATCCACGGGGGGCGGTTCACAGTCTGCAACAGGTATGGGCCTTCTGGGAGGGGTCTTTGGGCTGGACCGGAAGCCCATGTGAGCAGGCGGAGGCACTTGCATTCCAAAAGAAGAGAAATCAAACGTCCCCGGAGTCATGGGCACGTAATTTGCTTCCTGAATGGGTTCTGTAAAACTGCTGGAATGTTGCCGTGGAGGAGAGTTGGGATTCATTGGGACGTAATTTTCATCCAGCTCTTCACTTGAGACACTTCCCACTGTCAACACATTTTTGATTTTCTAAAACACACACACACACACATTTTTCTTTTAATAAATAAAAACTGCCGTCACACAAGAAAACATAATTGTAAGACACACCTATTCATGTGGATCAGAAGGGGCTTTTCTTTCATGATCTCGTTTAGTCTCAGGGAACTAAGCGTGAAGATTTTTGACAATGAAATCTACACTCGATTATGCCAAGGTCAATGATACTTACGAAGTGGTTATGGAAGCCTTCGAGTGAACTAGATCTACCACTTGGAAATGTTCGTGGAACATCGTAGCAGTCTTGAGAACTAGCATCTAAAACAAAGAACAAACTATCAACATCTCTTCCCCTACCTGCCCGTTCTTGGGGTAATCAGGAATGATCTGTTCTCTTTCTCTCTCTGTAAACACACGTACGTGCAGGCACACCTGCACACGGATCTTAAAAAGGATGCTCACAGAAAGGTATCTTGAGCTGGCACGTTAAAGCACTAGAAAATGCAGCCACTCACTCAAGTGCTAACCAGTACTGATATCTGATCACGGCAGTGAGTGACTGTCTAACTCCGGGATGCGGTGGGAAAAATGCCAAAAGATATACTTGTATTTTCTTATCTTTTGCACCATCTTGGACTTAACATATCTCACTAACTTATACTCGGATTACACACACACTTCAAGAAGGGAGTTAGAAATTGGTACTGAATGGATAAATAAGCACTGACATAAGTACTCTTCGTGAGGCATTAAATCTTCATCTGCTTTAACACAGCTGGAAACTGTGACAAGATAAAACTTTGTGAGCATGAAGTTTTTAGGGGATGTGCCTTTCACACTCTAGCCTTCTATTTTCAGGACTTTACGAATCTCAGAGTATAACCCAGACTAAATTTCTCTCCTCCTGAGGCCTGTGACTTGGAATGAGGGGAGAGGGGACTCAGAGCTTGAAATAACTCAGAGAAGTAACACCAAACAAAACTCCGAGTGGCTTGACTGGAACTGATGTTACCTGTTAGACACAAGTGTAAAAACTGCTTATCTAGGAAGGAAGGAAGTGGAGCCCAATAGATGGGACACAAAAGTGGCCGCCATGGCACACAAACACAGGAAAGGGTCTGAGCCGCAGACGCTGGGTGGCTGGCCCATTTCCTGCTCCTCTGCCCCATCAGAGGGTCTGCCTCCCCCCACCCCAGTATTTATAGAAAGTGGGAGAGGGGGGCACCCATCCCGAGGCAGGAAGGAATTACTACGGCCATAGTCCTTCAGGGATGGAACACGCCACCTCCGCCCCCTGGCGGCAGACCAGCACACAGGCATGCCCGGCGCGCGCAAACGCCCTCCTGGGAATCTGCCGAGACTCCGCTATCCTCACGCCACGAGTGGGCCACTGCGAGGCTGAAGAAGCAAAGGCTCACCATGTGACATCCTACTATGCTTGGAAGGGCAACTATTTGGAAACACGGCCTTTCTGTCACGAACCCTAAACAGAGAGGATGCCAAGGAGCGCTGACCTTTCCGCAGCTTGTTCAGCTCCATGGTGGAGCTGGTGTTACTGCGGGACGGCGGCGCCCCCGCGGTCGGAACGCAGTAACTGCTGTCGGGGTCCGAGGTGGCGCGCGGGACGCTGCAGGTCTCCACCGGGGACCGGTCGTGAGCCGGGTGTGGTTTCGGCGGCCGCGGTGGAGGAATATCTGGAATAGGGTCTAGCTTGGACGACTGTCCCAGGGCTCCTTCGGGAAATGTTCGTGGAATCTGGTAAGTGTTACCAGGTGTGGAAGGAATGTCGTAACTAACAGACACGTGCCTCAGTTGAGTCTCTAGACTCGATGTCCCAGACGGGGTATTAAAAACATAGAGTTCTCCATCCGCTTCGGTACTCGACGGAGACACCTTTGGTAAAACGTCATGGGAGTAACTCCTGGGCAGGTAATAAAGGCTGGAGTCTATGGAAACGGACGCCGCACGCGGCGGCGGGGAGTCGTACATGCTTTGCTGCTGGAAGAAGCCATTCACTCCGTGTTTGCTCTGGGAGGAAGCTGGGGTTTTATGAGAAGGGGCGTTATCGTTGCAGTCTGTTTCAGAAGAGGCGGATTTTGCAGAATCGGCATGTGTTCTAAATAAAAATGGTCAACAGCAGAAAATAAAACACAGTGAAGACACAGGACTGCATTCTAATGTACATATCTGTAGCTTGTAAATCAAAATCCATAGCTTTTTTTCATTAGATTTTTTTTTTGGTGTGATCCACAAGATTGAAAGCATGAATGCTGCTCATTTTTTTACGATTATACCCCAGACAACACCACCGCCACCACAAAACCACCACAAGCGTTTTCTCTAATTTCTGTCCCGGACCCGCCCACTCCCCCAACTCCACCTAGTAAATCCACACACTGAAACCACAATCCCCAAAATACTGGAATTAGAAAGGTACGAAACTCCGAGAAAGGTAAATGATGAAGGCACAGACACAGGAAAAGCATTTCCTCTGAACAGCATGCAAGAACCTGGTGCCAACACAGTTCATCTACGTGACCCCACCTGTGGCGGCTCCACTGTTTTGGGGACCTGGAAGTCTAATGGTTCTACCGTACTGAATAAATTCAGTGTGATCTACCAGGAGGTGGCAACTTAAAAAGGTTTTGTGTATCTTTCTACTAATTTTCTTTAACGAGCATTTAGCTGCTACTATAATGAAGATCCAGATACAAGGCACAGAGTGAGCCAATTCGAAACTATAATTAACCTTGAGGCATCTCGTTAGAGTATTTTCTATGCTTCGGGTACATTTTCAGTCTCTGCATTTAGTACAATCACAAAATGTGGATATAAGGCAAAATGAAGCCCTGCAGGAACTTACACTTAACTGATTTTAAAAGTAAACTTGTGATGGTTTTGTAAGGGCCTGTTGCCCCTCTTAGGGACATCTGGCCCTGTGTACTCCGCATATTCACTGGGACTCTTCTCCACTGTTACTAAGAACCCATGATTGCAATATCGTGATTTTCCTCAACCCTCACCGATTAGTCCCTTGTTCACTGACTGGCTCTTTCTTCTTATCTCTCCACCTGGGAATGGCCAACAGAATTTAATCCTCTCATCCTTGATCACACACACTATTTAACAGTTGTCCTGCCTCAGACGGTCACCTTCGGTCTGCTGGCAACCTCCCATCTTCTCTCTAAACTCTGGGTCCCATGTTTCCCGGCTGTTCAAATGTATTTCTGCTTGGTTATCCCAGTATCACCTTGCTCACATGGGCCAACCCCAACCCAACTTGCTTCTCCAATGGACTGCCCTTGCCGCGGTGCCACTGAAAGAAATGTCTTTATTCGGGTTCTCTGGGCTCAAAAGCCGATCAGCTTTGATTCACTCTCTTTGATCTCCACCATCACACAGGCACAGTCTTTCTTCCTAACCAAGTGCCTGACCCCTATTCTATTTCTGCTGTCACCGCCCCAAACTCAGGTCTGTGTCTCTGCTAAATGCAACACCACTGGACCCTCCTAAGTGAACTTCTTTCCTCTATTTGTCTTTCTTCCCATGTGCTTGGAACCATACTGCTACGTTTTCAAACCATGGTTTTCTTATCATTCGCCTACTCGGAGAAACTCCTGTTGAGGGTCCCTGCAGCTTGTGGGAACTCCAGAAAGCCCGACTGCTGCCCTTGGCATTGAGGCAGCTCCACCTTTTCTGCCTTTATCTTCCGTCCCACTATTCCCCAGGGGAACCTCGACCCCGAGCAGACTCCCTCCTAGCTTTCTTCTTCCCATCACTCTCATTCCCATCCCTCCTTTCCCTCAAGCATTTTCATGCAGATTACTAATGACAGGCTCCTTTTCTTTCACCAGGCAGGTGTCATGCAAACCCTGCTCCTCCCAGTGTAGGAATTTCCAACAGGTCTACTCTCGATTCTAAAATGTGCTCCGTCACTGAATTCCCACATGGGAGACACAGAATGCCAGAAGCGGAATGAGCGGCAAAGTTACTGTGCTGACTAGCTTATAGTTTAGTGGAGAATGAATAAAAATATCAATTATGTCCAATTCTGTGATAAGACAGAGATATGGATGTGAAATCAAGAGGCTATGAAAACCCAGAGAGGCATTTAATCCAGCAGGGAAGAGTGGGAAGATGTTTCCTACACACACGTCTGGGCTGAGGCGTGCGGGCTGTGCAAGGATTTGCAAGGCAGGTCTCATAGCGTGCCTCCATCTAAAAACACTTCATGTTCAGGTGCTCTCACTTCTTCACAAGGTTTACTGGGGAACTGTGAAGGTGACTGTGTCTGAGGGGCTGTGACTTATGTCATTAGTCTGTACCTGCATAGCAGCACCTAGCAAAATAGTGGACACATCGTAAATGTTAGTTGTCACTTTTGCAAGACAATAGATGCAAAATATCTATGAGCATACTTTCTACTACAACAGGAAAGTTGTGATAATAGTGAGATTAATGAAAGACATTACATAAAACGAAAAAGAAAATGTCCTGAAAATTGTCCCTTAGCTCTTTGTTGGCTTTTAGAAAAGTAATTGGTGACTCTCTGTAAAATGAAATCTTAGTTAGTAGCACAGGTAACAAAGTTGCGAGTGTGTAATTTTAAATACTCACAGCAAACAAACAAAATCAAGTTAGAATTTGGTATTATTAACTAACGTTGATTCATAAAATTTTTTTTTTGCTCTTACAGGTAAAATCCCATTAGAACAAAGATGTAGAAATCCATCTTTGGAGTGTTTGTTTCTGTCATCTTAGGACACTGGTCACAGAAACTAATTTGGGGATCACAACAAATTCTCTGTAAAATTTTTTAAACAAGTGCTTTGTATACTCCTAGCCTAGTAACAGTCACTTTCCACATGAAAAAAAAAACACCAATCTTTTTGTCATGAAAAATAATGCTTAATATCTAATAATCCTGTTAAAAAATCGTTCACATCTACTATGCAATTCACCCCCAGGATTTATACTACAATTAGCATAATAAATATACCTGGTATCATTAGTTATCGTAGCTGCTAATGGCAGACAGGCCTCCTGACAATCACTTTTCAGCTCCCACACTTACCATTACCTTAAGCCTTCCAATGACTCAATTATCGAATGAAAATTTATAGCTTGGAAGAAGCGGGGTGCCTTGGAGCGTGGATGCAGATGCAAAAAAAAGGAGGATTTGGAAAAGTCTTTATGATACATCTGATCAAGCACCAAAATCCACATATTTCTTTCTACTGAAAAATTGGTAAAGTCAAGGCTTGGCTAAGATCTGCTTCATTGCTAGGTATGAAAATTCAGATTTCATAGCTTTTAGCAATAGATTTGATGGCATCACATTTCATGAAAGCTCAATTTGTATTTTCCATAGATTTTGCTATACTGGGATTTTACCTGTATGATTAATTTCTCACACAGATCCAAAGCAACCACAACACACTCACTGCAATGGAATCGTTTTGCTTTCAAAATCTTCTAGTAGTAGGTACTCCTCTCCTTCTTCAGAAACAAAAGATGACCCTTGGCTGGTTTACAATCACATAAGAAATGGAGCAAGATCACCATTTACAAATCAGTGAAATCTGTCAACCAAGTAATAATATGCATCTGCAACAAAGACTATGAAACAGGAGACAGGTTCCCAAAAGAGCTTTTGGTAAAAATATTCCTTGCCAAAGATGCTAGAGAAGGTGTTTTTTTCAATAAAATCTTGTGAATATCGGAAATCATTAGTGGAGGGCTATAAACTTGAAATACATGCATAAAATATAAGCCCATACAGGTGGTTTCTTTTAAACCTCCAAATCAGGGTTAAAACAGCTCGAAGGTAAGATTCCTAAATGTGTTCACGCATACAAAAGACACACACACGCACACATGGGCACCTATGGTTTACCTGGTGGGTTCAGGCTTCTTGCTTTGACAGTTGATCAGCAGGAGGTAGTCTTGAGGATCCTCCTGGACGCCAAGAGTTTCCAGATGGGGCGGAAGGTTAATGAGCTGATACGGAGGAGGCTGGGCAGCAGAGGACAAGTCCGCCTGGGCGGATGCTGGGGTCGTCGTTACGGCTGAAGGCAACTCCACCGGCGCCGGTACGGAGCTGCCAGGGTGCTTCACATCTGTGACGCCAAAGTGTGATCATCATTGTCTACCCCATTTTAAGAATTTTTCCTTAAGCAAAGCCATTGGAACTTTTGGAGATAAATTGTTTCAAGACATGGAAACAGGCTAAAATAAACCATGGTCATGTCAGTTAAAACACACACGACCTAAATGGCAACAATTATACAGAACACAGTTGGTCTGTTTCAACTGTGTGAGACCCGTGGAGCAGAGATGTTCCAGAGGCTCCCAAAACGCCATGGAGAACCTTATAGATCACTATATAAAATGAGTTCTAGTTTTTAATGTTAACTCCTAGAGTAACTTTTCCAGGTGGTTGTTTTTATACATACACTTTCCTTTAATATTTTTTCTATACCTGGTGACTATACGCTGAATGAACTGAGTGACTCATCCTAAGTGGGGGGTGGGGGGGCTCACCCAGCCGGGCAACGGTGTTTGTTTTATGACCTTGTTTTATGAACTCAGTGGGACCATCTTAGAGCTTCAAAATTCTCTCCGTTTTCTGAAGGAGAAAAAGCACTCAAAAACTCCGTTTAAAAAAAAATCTTATTCAAAATATGGGAAGACTTACATACACAGCTGATCCTTGAATTACTTACATAAGTCTGAACTGCGAGGGTCCACTTATATGCGGTCTAACAAATACACAGTCACCCCCCTGTGTCCCCCCAGATATTACATTGTTGGGTTCAGCCAAGCACGGACTGAAAACAGTGCTTTTGATTTGTGGTTGGGAATCTGTGGGTGTGGAGGGCCGGCTGTATGTGTCATTCTGCACATACATACATATAAAATGTATGCATTTTATTCGATGAACTTTTATATCAGGTCCTGCAACCAGTGCCCTGCAGATACCAAGGAACAGCGGAGTTTGGGCGCCCCCATCCCCCCACACTGTTTGAGAGCCAACTGTACTTCTCAGAGGCAAGGACTGAAGAGAAACTTCCTTTGTGTTCACTAGCAAGCTCCCGGAAGGAAAGACCTTCGAACAGCTGTAAAAAGCAAGCCCAACCATTCCAAACAGCGTGGTGTCCAAAGGTCTTTTAAAAGGAAGGGACACCGTTCTACCACAGAAAGCGCACTATTTTCAAATCATTAGCCTTTGGGATTATTTTACTCATGTTAACCTGACTGTATACTCAGCTCTGCATATTTGAATGCAAACACCGCACTGTGTCTTAATAATCTCAAATATAAAATTTCTAGCCAAAGTTAGTCAACTGATCTGAAAAAGAAACTTCTGTTCTACCTTCTTTAAAAACAGTGATTTGCCCCCACTGGCCTCGACAAGTAGTTGAGAGGACTGTGTTTGTGGCTTTTTACCTCACTTAGGTTTCCAACGTACTGTTTTTACTAATAATGCTGGGATCAAGTTTCTGAAAACCAAACATCACTGTACCGTTTCCTTATGTTTGTAAAATTATTTCCTGTCTTAATTCAAAAGGCATGAAGAGTATAATTAGTATCCATTAAAGGGCCAAAAGCTGTTGGAGCCAACCCCTAATAAAATGTACTTAGAAAACTAATAAACACCACTAAGAAAAGCCTTAACCAGCTTTCTGTGGAAAGAAGTAGATTATCATGTAAGAGGAACTGCAAATAATAAACTTGTCCACAAACATCCCTAGCTTACTACAATTTTATCCTATCTGGAACCATAATGCCCTCACAGAAGTTGGGTTGCCCAGATAACGCCTCTAAACATTGAAAATAATATATGCTTTTTCTAACCAAATGGCACAAGAGCTTTAAGCCCAGAAAAGCAGCTCTACTCTTTCCTTTTATTTCAAAGTTGATGTCACAGGCCCTCTGATGTTGTCACTAGTAACCTACTGTACCTGAGCAGGTGGTAATAAAACTGAGGTCTTGCTCATGTCCTTGTTGGAGACAGCAAGGATCCTTTTCTCTGAAGACAGGTGACATCTGAGACACAATACGGTTTTGGATTCTATTGCAAAAGTGTTACCTTTATATTCACAATGAAAGGTAAATGGGTCAAGGTTGCTCTGTTTCTATTGAATACTGACTTGTCAGGTCTGCTGTAGAATTTTTTCTTTTCTCTAAAGAGAAGCACTTTGCATAGACCTATGTCTGATTAACTTAGCAAATAAGAGTCTGCCATCATTAATGCTAAAATAATCTCATTTCTGAACACAGTTTTTCACGAAAGGACATTTTATAAAGGTAAGTCTCACAAATGGATACAAACAAGAAACCACAGTAGTTACCATTTTCAGTGAAGCCACCTGCAGTTTCTTCAATTTTTTTAATCAAATATTGCAGATCTAATCACAGCCTAATCTACAGGGTCTGGCTGAAGTTACGCCTGCTTGAGTGTGGTTGGTAGGGTAGTAATATGGGTGCAATAATTTATAGTTTTAATTTGACTATTTCACCTAAAATGTCATATGGTGTGCTTGTGTGTGATACTGTTACGTTACAGAATGACATGTTTATGATTTTATAATAACAGATTTTATAATAATAAACAAGTGTCATTTGGGCTGGACCCTGTATTTAAAGTGTTTCAAGTAGAAATGTGCTATCTTATGTGTCCAGACTATCTCCTTAATAGGCTGTGGAAACTTTCTTGGTGACTTGGAAGCTAGTCACCAAGCTCATGTGAGAGGAACTGCAAGTAATAAACTTGTCCACAAACATCCCTAGCTTAATGCAATTTTATCCCATCTGGAACCATAATGCCCTCACAGAAGTTGGGTTGCCGAGATAACGCCTCTAAACATTGAAAATAATATATGCTTTTTCTAACCAAATGGCACAAGAGCTTTAAGCACAGAAAAGCAGCTCTACTCTTTCTTTTTATTTCAAAGTTGATGTCACAGGCCCTCTGACGTTGTCACTAGTAACCTACTAGTGGTGACAAGTGTCTAATTCTTATCCCAGAGGTGCCATGGCATTAGGGGCACTCAGAAACCTAGGTGCCTGGGCCCCACCTCAAGAGACTGAATGAATCAAGATCTCAGGGACAGCAGCTTGAAAATGTGTAATAAAATACAATTACCTCCTTGGTTGACTTGGTGCCCAGAAAAATACAAATGGAAACCAAAATGAGGTACTACATCCCCCAGAATGGCTAAAATTAATGACTGACAATACCAAGTGCTGGTGAGAGTGCAGAGTAACAGAAAGTCTCATATCCTGATGGCGGAAAAGCAACTGATACAATAACTCTGGAAAACTAAAGCTGCTAAATCTTCTAAAGCTAAATGTATGTGTGTGTGAGTTAGTGTGTGTGTGTGTGTGTATATCCTACACACCTGTAGCAATTCTATTCACAGATGTATATTCAAAAGAACTAACTGTTCATGTCTATCAAAAGACATGCATATGAATGTTCATAAAAAGCTTTACTTGTAACTAAAACTGAAACAACCCAAATGTCCATGACATTCGAACAGATCGGTATTTGTTATATATTCACACAATGGAATTCGACACAGGATGAAGAACTACATGCAACAGGGCAGAGTCCCAGGCTTAATATTGGGGAAAACAAGCCAAACTCAAAGGTTTTATTTATATTAAGTTCAAGCATAGGCAAAACTAATCTATGCTTATAAAAGCAAAATAACAGTTATAGCTGGGGTTTGTGATGAGATGGGTTACTGGGAAGACATCTGAGAAAACCTTTCGGGGGACTGGAGATGCTCCATTTCTTGATTTGAGTGGCGGTTACACAGATTCCGGTTTTTATGCATAGATATAGATGCATATGTAAAACTACATTGAACAGTTAAGTTCTATGCCTTTCATCATAGTAAGTGATAGCCAAATAAAGAGGTGAGTAAAAAGAAGTTTAAAAGTGCCCTAATTAGGAAGCACCGCTTTATAGGAAAGGGAGCATATGTATATCCTTACATGCTACTTTAACCCACTTTTACTACTACTACTACTACTGCTGCTATTACTATTATTATTATTACTTTCACTTTTCTCAGTATTAGTTTTAGGTGTACTACCCAGTTGGTCAGATAGTCCTGCACTTTACTAACCTACTTTCCCGAAGAAAAGAAAATCAAACAGAGAATCATGCTATTCTTTTTATCCTCACCAGAGGACATTTTTTTCACTGACTCTTAGAGACGGGGGAAGGGAGCGAGGAAGGGAGAGATGCCTATCAGCTGCCTCCCACATGCCCCCGGACCAGGGATGGAACCTGCAAACCAGGTATGTGCCCTGACTGGGAACTGCACTTGCAACCTTTGGGTCACATCTCCCACAACTTTGGGTCAGGGCTCCCACAACTTTTTTTTCCAGCTACTATTATCTGGACATTTTGAGAAAAGCAACTCAACTGATAAGAAGCCACTTCCTATTGGTGCCTCCTGAAATCAGACCAGAAGCCTTTGCACCAAGTTAGTAGCTGTACACAACCCTTAAGACTGTTTTCCAGCACTTGTTCAGCAGATTTACCAGCTTCCAAGTCGGTTTGGGAACAAAAATAAATCTGCACATTTCCAAGAAAAACAAAAGAAATTACTTTCTACCCTCAAATCTACTAAATAAAAGCATTCATAGGAACCACACACAGTTCAACGAGCTAGAATTTGAAAACAGATTCGGCCTGCCAGCATTCTGAGTATTCAATAATAGCAGTGGTCACCTGGGGCAGCGGAAATAACACGGTAACGATATTTTGAGAGGTTCCTGGAATCAAAACACAGGTCAGATTTTTCCCCTTTCCTTTTGTTTTCAGGAGAAAATTAGTTATTCTCCTAGGGACTGGGGTTAGTTATTTTCTCAGACGGTAATATCTAAGCACAGTGGATTTCTTCCCACGTCTAGTCTCAAACGAGTATAATGAAATAACATTTTGTGTCATTAGTTTTAAAAGTCAAGAGTAGGCACATCTTCAGGTCTCTGAAATGCGAAGAGCAAAAGACTCGGGGGACAGAGCGAGGTGAAAACAAAAACACCTGTTTAGTGACTGGTGGCGGGGTCGATTTGGAAGCAAGAGAATATAAAGCAGGGAGCAAAGTCAATGGAAGAACAGAGACATTTGCTATTTCCCTTGTCATATTAAACTGTATGACTGTGATCACAAAGGATAACAGCAGTTCTTGGAGGTTTAGAATTTGATCAGATCTTTAAATGTGGGGTAGAAAAGTCAGCTGCTCCAAATAAAAGGAAGCACAGTGGTTGATTTGAAAACCTTTTTGCAGTTTTATTATTATGCATCAAAACTCAAAGTTATAGAATGAAATAAAATATTTTTCGTGGTTCCTTGATACTATACAATGAAAGTTGTTCATCTTATACTGATTCTTCCAAGAAACTCAAGTCTTCAGTATAGCAGAGTCAGATACTTCTGTGGCTATTTAGGAGGTGGCCAGAATACACTTGTAAAAAAATCTAAATTGTAAAATTAAAGGTAAATGCAGTTGCATTTAGCTATAGCTCATGAACTAAATTTAGCGAGCATTGGCAAACTGAAGTCCTCAGGGGCTTGTTTTAATGAACAGATAAAAATGGTTTGATTAGCACAGCTATTCCTGGTAACCAACTCAGATTATAAATATTAAAAGTTGATTAATCACACTATTAATTTTCTTATAACCTCCCTTGTTATGGATAAACAGTTCACAAACTGAGTGTCACACCAGGCAAATATAATTTTAATCTACTGTAGAAGGATTTGGGAGTTTGGCCACTGAAGAGGGAGGTCAGTGTAGCCTTCAAGTTTGGGAACTTCCCCCTCTCCCTATACCGGTAAATCAATAAAGTGAAAACAGACATTTTGCTGGACTCTGACTACTGACATCAAAGAAAATGTTCTTCTAAGCACAAAAATAACATTCTCAGCACCTTGTCAGTCACGGTCACAGAGCCATTGAAAACTACCAAGGCTTTTCCTGACCCTCTTAAGACTCAGTCAGCTGAATTCTATGCTTATTTATTTTTTCTTGAGCAGAGCACTTATCAGCTGGTATATAATTTCTAGATTATTTGCCAGTCTCTCCTACTGGACTGACTGCAAGGTCTCTGAAGGCAATAACCATATTTATCAAGGACCATAGTAGCATATTCAAGATTATATATTAATGCTTGATTAAATGTTATATAAATTAAATATATATTAGAGTATAACTTTACATTTGTATATGAAGACATATACATGTATCTTACATTTATGAACAACTGTAACAAATTATTTCGGTATGAAACCTCTCCTGCTACATGCTCAATTCCACAGGTCATGTTGGCCATTTGCCTTCCTAACTAGTCACCCAGCAGACACATGAGTACATGCCCCAAGCCTAGTAGAGTGCAGGCAACCCAAATAATTTGGTTGATTACTGAACTGACTTTCTAAAGCAGACCAACTTTTCTTCTTCCCAGATCTGACTGAGTGTTCCTCAAGGTCCCAGATGGTAAGAAGCATTCTAAGGCGGAGAGATGGACCAGACTCCATGCCTTAAAACTTGCAAAGTTCACCTGAGGCCCTTGAGTGCTAAACATTCTTATTTTGGGGGTTCTCAACTCTACCAGCCCCTGAATGGGCTTCTAAAACTTAGCTGCTCACATTCCTTAACTGAAAAATGCAGCTCTCTAAGAGGGCATCTGATTTCTTTTGTTAAATATATTTAGGAGAATTACAAAGAAAACAAAGAGAGATGGAAGACACCCCCTTAGCCTTTCAGACCCATCGTATCTGTCCAGGTAACCAGTGCTGACGAAAGTCTGCCCTCATGGCCCCAAAACAAGTCCCAGATGGAAAAGGCACCAGGCAAAAGAACATCAGTAAAAAGATTATACAGCTACTGAAGTTATTTTAACGAAAAATCCATCACCTAACTCATGTGGTGTCTAAATCCAATAATTGTCATTACCAGGTGGTTGCTAAGTAACCATTAAATAAAAAGCTATCTCATTTGTGACTTTAATTTTAAAACCCTCCACTGCATTCAAATATAGACTCTATGTGCAAACAAGAAAGGGAAGGAGTTTAAGTGGAGTTAGAAATAACACCCCTCACTTACTTAAGATGGGAACACATTTAGTAACTTCACAAAAACAACCCAAAGCTTAATTCCCCACATGAAACACGCATGGTCTTGAGGCTTTTAATCACTAGAGCTCCGCTGAAGGGCACTGGTTCCTCAGCCGCCTCCCGTCTCAACGGGATGCCTCCTTCCCCTCTCTGAGCTGCTCCCTCGGGCCTTCTGGAGTCTCACCAAGGGGTTTCCCCAACCCGCTGGGCCAATTCCAGCCCTGGAAGGCCCTGCTCTGGGGCTGCTGGAAGGCCAGAGAGGAAACAGCATGCTGACCTGAGCTAATGAGAGATGATTACTGTTTCGCTTCAATAATTCAACACTTGATGCTGATTGCTGGGACAATTTTTCCACCCCTCTCACTAAATCTCCAGCCCTCCTAAATATAGACATTTAGAAACACACACTTGTAACGGGGGTGCCACCCTGAAGACAATAAGGTCAAAGACCTTATTCCTGATTCTGGGCTCTGCAAACTTCTATTTGTATTAGAGTCCCTTTCACAAGTTCTTAGTGATTGTTTGAAAAAGGAAGAGAAGCGGATAAGAGAATATGGGGTCAGGACAGCTATAGAAGCGCACCTGGAGAGGAATTTCACTTGCAAAATTCTTCTGAGACCTCTTGCAGGACAGGCTCCCCAAACCTCAGATCCTTAAACACCCTGCCCCTGGCCCCCTGGAGTCAGGCAGAAGTCCATCCCTCCCCTTGGGCCTTCCTCTCTCTCACCCCTAAGCCTGTAGGATTCTGCAGCCCTCCTTTCACTTACATAGAAATACCACTTCCTTCAAAGGACCACAATGTACCATCTGTCCTCCTCCGAGCTTTCTTCTCTACCTCTCTTCCGAACCTTGAGCCCCTCCTACCTCCATGTTAAGTAAACTCATTGGTTTGTTACTTTTCCCTCATGTTTTGTGACTGATTCTCAATCACTTTTCATAGATACTGATAATCACCATGGCAACACAGCTTTAAAAATAAAGCTATGAAGAATTAAGGTGAGCCACATGAAAATGCTTTTAATTTAGTAGTCAAAAGTAGTCAAATATCAGCAGTGTTGTAAGGTTGAAATTAATATTTATATAGGAACTCAAGAAAGGCTCTTAAATAGTATGTCTTCTTGTTGCCTTCTTCTTTGGGACATTTATTGCAGTATCTAGACAATGCCCCAGAATGATTACATTTCTCTTTCTAAAACCTATGCCAAGGTTCTGCCCCGACTGATTAAAGCTGCTTTCCCCCAATCTTGTTACTATTATAAAACTCTCCCCAATGTTATATCATGTAACTGAAATATATAAATATAAAAAGAATTTTATAACAGTGCTAAAAATGCAGTCATGAAAGAGCAAGGCTGAATAACAAATCTTGAACTCACCCTCTTCCGTCGGATTAAACCCACAGATGTCACAAATACAACGGACCCACTTATTCATCTCTTCCTCGCTGTCTGCCACCAAGTAGAAAATTCGGTCGATGGTGTTGATGTCAAAGATGTAGCTGTTTTCAAACTCCTTTTTGTTAAAGGTCAAGCCAGCATCAACTTGCTGACACAAATTTAAATCGATGATGCGGATAGGCTTCTTGGCGTGGTCATTTTTGTAATACTCCAGGACATCTGGGTCTCCGGTTAAGCGGCCGCTGCGTAGCACAAACCACCTCCGCTTCCATGCCTGCAGGCGAAGCACAGCAGACCCATCCCGCGTGAACTCGGGACATTTTTGAAGATGAAGCACATTTATCGAATCAGTTTTACAAAAGCGTTATCTAGGGATGACGTTTCCTTTGTTTTCACGGAATGATCTGCCACGCCAACCAAGTTTACCGATGTCCCGATGAATAATGTGTGTCTGTGCACATTTATTATTTCCTATTAGGTCTTCTAATGGAATATTAGAAGAAATTGATGTTAGAAGATATTACATCAATATGTAGTATCAAGTCAGCAAAACAAGGAGGATTTAGTTTTAAAAAATGTGTCTTTATTTTACTTATTTATTTCTAGAGAGTGGGGAAGGGAGGGAGAAGGAGAGGAGAGAATCACTGATGCACAAGAGAAACACTGATCAAGTTTCCATCTGCACACCCCCAACCAGGGACCTGGCCTGCAACCCAAGCATGTGCCCTGACTAGGATTTGAACCAGTGACCCTTTGCTTTGAAAGCTGGCACTCAATCCACTGAGCCACATCAGCCAGAGCAGAAGATTTAGTTTTTGCTAAATTTTCCACAAACAATTCTCGAAAAACTAGATATCCACATGCAAAATAATGAAGACTCTAACTTTACATCATATAAATATTAACTCAAAATGTGTCAAAGACTTATGGTAAATAGAAGAGCTAAACTATAAAACTCTTAGATGAAACATAGGAAAAAGCTTCATGACATTAGATTTGGCAATGATTTCTTGGGAATGACACTGAAACTACAGGAAACAAAAGAAAAAATAAGTAAATGGAACTGTGTCAAAATATATAACTTTTATACATTGAAGGATACGATCAAAAGAGTAATGAGACACTCTCATAAATCATGTATCTGATAAGAGATTAACATCCAGAATACATGACAAACTCCTATAATTCAATAACAACAAAAATAGCCCTGGCTGGCACAGCTCAGTGGATCGAGTACGGGCCTGCGAACCAAAGGATAGCAGTTCGATTCCCAGTCAGGGCACATTCCTGGGTTTCAGGCCAGTTCCCAGCAGGGGACGCACTAGAGGCAACCATACATTGATATTTCTCTCCCTCTCTCCTTCCATTCCCCTCTAAAAATAAATAAAATCTTTTTTAAAAAAAGGAACAGAGGCAATGACCTTTAAAAAAAATAATAAAAATAAACCACCTAGATAAAAAATGGACAGAGGATTTGAACAGACTCTCCAAAGAAGAAACACGATTGGCCAAAAAGCAGATAAAAAGATGTTAAACATCATTATCATCAGAGAAGTGCAAATCAAAACCACAAAGAGATACCACTTCATACATATTAGAATGACTAATACTTAAACAGAAAATAAATGTTTTGCATCGCCGCTAGAAATATAAAACGGTGTAACCACTGTGAAACCGGTCTGACGGTTCCTTGAAAAGATCCAGTAGCCGGGATATATCCAAATGAACTGCAATCGAAGTCGCAAACAGGTGTTGGTACACCTACATTCACAGCGGCATCATTCACAACAAACAGCAGAAGCAACCCAAGTGTCCACTGATGAATGATGAGATAAATACAAATATATAATAGAATATTATTCAGCCTTAAAAGGAAAGAAAATTCTGACACCTGCTAAGCCATGGATGGACCTTGAGATGTTAGGCGAAGGGAAATAAGCCAGTCACAGAAAGACAGGAAGTGTATGACTTCACTTATACACAGTGCCTGTAATAACCACATTCATAAAGACAGACGCCGGGGTTGGGGGGGAGGAGGAGGAAGAGTCAGTGTTTAATGGGTAAGAGTGGCAGCTGGGGAAGATGAAAATGTTCTGAAGGCGGATGGTGGAGACGGCTGCACCTCAGTGTGAATGTACCTAATGCCACTGAACCGCACACTTAAATGTGGTTCGAATGGTAAATTTTGTTATGTATCTCATAACAAACTTCTTCAAAACACCAATGTTTTTTCATGCCATAAAGAATACGCATAGAGGTGCTTCTTTAAAACAGCCATTTTGGGGGCTATAGCACTCTCTCCCTCTCTCTACCCCAGCCCTCAAATCCAGGCTCTCTTTGGGGGGCTGGGGTAAGGAGTGGGGAGGATAAAAATACCTGAGAATATAGCAGCCCTCACAAGGTATCTACAGAACTACTGCTAAGTGGACAGACATTCCTCCATGGAAAAACTTATGCAACCTTTTAACAAGAAGATTAGTAGAGAAATCATGAAGTCCTAAAAACATTGTGTAGTTATTTAATATCATCAAGATTTTAAATTCACCTCTTAGTCTGACTACAGCTCCAAGGTCAAAGTAAATGATCGGTGTTCAGAAGCAGGTGGTGTGGAGTGCTACAGGTGCTTTAGATAATACTGAAAAGTCACAGTGTTAAATTCACATGAATTTAGCACTGGTTTCTGGATTACACAAATCCGTTCGGTTACTATATGGCATCTATTTACTTCAGAATAAATAATACCATCTGAAGCAGTAAGCTTGAAAGAGTGACAGAGAAGAAACCGAAAAGATGATACAGCAGCATCATGTCACTGATCCAGGGCTGTCAAGGAACCTTATCTTCCAGTAAGTGATTTCTCCAGATAGTGAAGGCTCCATCTTTAAACACAGAAATGACTTCTTAAAACATTAACGCCTCACTTGAAATCTTTCTACAATGCCTTAGTGCATATTCACTGAGCATGGTCCAGTGCCTCAGACTAGGAATGAGGGGCGTCAGTTCCTACAAGCATGTGTGGGAGATGCTCTCAGAGTGCTGGTCCGTGCGGAGGGTCGCAGGCCCGCATACTGAATGGGACCACACTGGTGTGCTGGCAGAGCTCACCTACAACCGTTTTCAGCCACTGCCCCTCCTCTCTTCTAACACTCGGCGTATAGGACGCCCCACTGTCTCCTGCCTCTGGGACCTTGCACGTGCTCTTTTTTCGGTCCAGCATGTCCCTTCCCCCGGGCTGTTACCAGGCTGGCCCTGACCTGCAGCCTTCCCTTCCCACCTCAACCCACCCCTCCCAGGGAACGCAGCGTAGAGTTTCAGGCTCTTTATTAACTACCTATTTTGCGATTTTGGGGGGTAATTCTACAGTTTAACTTTTCTTTGTATTCATTTACTTAGCCTCTAACTGCCAGAGCAGACTGTACAGTCCACGAAAATAGTGACCACATCTGCTTTGTTCACCATTACAAATTCAGCACAGAGCACAGTGCCTGCTGCCTAGAAATATCCGTGCAATGAGTAGAATTCCCCTGTGACATCAATGCTGTGAAGTTCTTGAGAACATCAGATTAGCTAGATGGGATACGTGGAATAGAAAGGTGCACGTTCACAACCCCTCCCACTTGAGAAAAGTGCTCCCAAACTGAACATATACATAATAAAGTGAACATAACTTAGACGGCTTTACCAAAACACATGCAAAACACATCTTGGGAAAATGACGAAAATTGGAAAAGAACGAAATGCATCCTTTCCCTATAGCTCATGCATCACTCTTTGGTCTTCTGGTTTGGGGGGGTGTCCCCCACCCATTTCACAGCTTCCCTGTTGAAATGATACTGCTAATATTTAAAGGCCCCCAGAAGTGAAAACAAACACCCGAGAAATGAGCAGCAACGAATCGAGGTGCACCGGCTAGACAGGGCTTGGGATTCCAGAGGTCCAAGTAGACACTGTACCAGACGAACCCATCACAGCTGGAAACGACCAGTGAAAACACTGCATTTTAGCCAAGCAGCACCTGCCGCTTCTGTATTTATTTTTAACGGGGGCCAAATGCGAATGTTTGTCTCAGTCACCACATGAGTCACCCTCACTGAATCTGGCTCAGATTAAACTGGAAAACAAAAGCAATTACATAAACTACACACTTTAATAAGGCAGATACAAAGGTTCTCTGGATTACGGCACAAAGCACAATGTAGCCACAGAATAAAGCGTGATGCCCTACGAGGGTACTGACATGAGCGCCCGGCTAATCACAGCACAAAGGCTTCTCTGTGTTTTGTCAGAGCACAGAATGGGTCCACATAAGTTGGCCTTTGTTATCGAAAATATCTGGGATTCTTAAAGCCTGCCCTATTTTTATCCTTGCTGCCTGGGTAGCCCCAGAGAAAGCTGAACATGGCCTCCCCAGTGCTGCAGAGCAGTAATGGACAAAAAGGGCAAGTTTTCTAGAAACCTTCAAAACCAAGCACTCGAGATTAAAGAGAAGGAGAGAATCTTAAAGGCAGCAAGAGGAAAGGAGGCAGTTACCTACAAAGGAGGTCCCATAAGATCATCAGCTGATTTCTCAAAAGAAACCTCTCAGGCAAGAAGGGTCTGGAAAGTAGTATTCACAGTCATGAAAGGCAAGGACCTCTATCCAAGATTACTCTGTCCAGCAAAGCTGTCGTTTAGAATGGAAGGACAGATAAAGTGCTTCCCAGATAAGGTCAAGTTAAAGGAGTTCATCATCACCAAGCCCTTGCTATATGAAATGTTAAAGGGACTTATCTAAGAAAAAGAAGATCAAAACTATGAACAGTAAAATGACAACAAACTCACAACTATCAGTACCCAAACCTAAAAAAACCCAAACAAAAACAAACTCAGCACACAAATAGAAAAGGAACAGATTCACAGAAATAGAGAGCACATGGAGGGTTATCGGTGGAGAGCAGGAGCGGGGAATGGGAGAAAAGGTACAGGGAAGCATAAATGGTAGGTAAAGATAGACAGGGGGAGGCTAAGAATAGTATGGGAAATGGAGAAGCCAAAGAACTTATATTTACAACCCATGGACATCAACTAAGGGGCGGGGGGGGGCAGTAATGAGAGTAGGAGGGGGATGCAAGGCAGAGGGGAATAAAGAGGAAAAAATGGGACAACTATCATAGCATAATCAATAAAAATACATTTTTAAAAAACCTAAGCACTCAAAGCAATTTCCAACAAAAGTCATGTGAAAAATCATTTTAACTACTGGACTTCCATGCCACGCAGGCTTACACGAGGGGA